TTAAAGATGATTTCCTATTTCTTTCAATGATTTCGACTACTGCGATTATTTTATCAAGAGGTGATTTCTTGGTTTTAATGTTTTTGAGTCCTTGTATCACTATTTTCCAGACTTGTTTTTAGCGAAGAGAAGTCGAAAGAGGTCTGACAGGAGGATTCTGCGGTGCTGGGTAGTTTTTTTCTGTTGGATTTTCGTTTTTGAATGGAGGTTTGAACGATATTTTCGTTACTGTTGTTTGATGTCAGCGGATGGAAAGTCTTGTCTTCTGTTAGTCCAGGGATTGATTGCTGGTGGAGGGCTGGGTTAGAATTGAACTTGTTTGTTTTATTGGTCTGAGCGGACAGCTTGAGAAGTTAGCTGGGCGAGGGTCTTTGCAGTGGTAACATATGGCTGGTTGGTTGCAGCTATGGGTGCATTATATAGGTTTATAGTTGTCTCCGCAACGGACGCATATCCACTTTCTGGTGCAGAGTAAGGAACTGTGAAAAAATCCCTGGCTTCTGTAACATTGTGGAGGGCCGGGTTTCTTGCGTAATGATTCTATTCTTACGTTCATATAACCTATGCGTTTGATTTTGAATATTTCCTTATTTTCTTCTGATTTTGGTATATGCACTAAGAAAAGCGGCATTGGTTTATTTTCTTTTCTATTTCTTAATAGTGTAATAAAGTTAACCTTGAAATCCTTTGTCAAGAAGTTCTTGAGTGATGGGTTTGGGGATCTGTGGTGATGGGTAAGCCTCTTATTATGAACTTTTAAAACTTCTCTTCGGGCAATAAGTAGGTGTGGGCCTTTAAGCTTTGTTTCTTCGACTATTTTGCGAATGAATCGATGTGAGTCAGAGTCTGCAGGTTGTATTTCAAGGCGGCGTCCTTTTAAGGTGCCAGTTATCTCTTTTCCGGTTTGCTTGTTTAAGTTTTTTAAGAATTCATCCGCTTTTGGTACGTCATCTACGACAATAATTGGCACTTTATCAATTCTGCTTGTTTTGGGGCTGGAGTTTGGTTTTCTATTTGCGGGAATGCTGTCACTTTTGTTTGGTTGGTCTTTTGGGGTGGTAGTGAGCTCAGTGGCTGATTCATCTTCGTTGTCCAAATGCATGTCGTCTATTTGGTTCTCTAATTGTTTATATGGATTTCTGGTTTTGAGGGAAGGCTCCTCATCGGAGTCAGAATCCGTTTGTCTATGGCGCAATTTTCTTTTTCTTTGTTCTTTGAAACCACTAGTGGATTGAAGTATGTCGCAGAAGTTTTTAATCTCTTCAAATTGTTTAGCGAAGCTTTTCGTTAGAAGCTTTGTAATTCGTTTATTTTTGCATTGGCCATCTCGTTTTTCCTGCATACGCAGTTGATTAATTGGCTTTTACAAGGAGAAAGTTTAGTTCTTTTTGATCACTAGCGGACATAATCACATTTGGGTCGTTACGGATATCTTGGATATCTTCCATCAAGGATCTGGTAGTTTCGACGTCATTGGATAAAGTAATTTTGTGACTTAATATTTGGAGAACGTTGGGTTCATCATTGAGATGTCACATGTGAGGATTTTCTGAGTTTGGAGGTGAATTTTCCATGTTTATGTTATTATTAGTTACAGTTATGTTTGTTGTGTCATATTGATCAATCATGTGAGGCAAATAAGTTGGAAAAAGGCCGTACCCGAAGGTACCCTTATCAGCACGGTGAATAAAGAAAATCAGAAGAAAGAATAAAATACGACCTGTTTTGTCCAGCGAAGGGTGCAGCAGTGGAGTTTAGGCGACGCTTTTGCAAGCCAATGAAGAAACAACCCAGAGCCCGTGAGGCGAGGTCGATGAACTCGGTACAGTAGCAGGGGTGGTAGCAGCGCAAGGAAACGGAGAGCGAAGCGATAAGACGTCTATCTCGAACGCTGTCCCACCTCGGAATGAAGAATAGATAAACTGTTCCTACTTTTCAATCTGTTCGAGGAAATTTTTGCCAGCAACCAATTAAGTACTTTATGTGACTGTAACAGTTCCAAATGAGAAGATACACATATATGTATATATAAATTTTAAAAGAATTAATATTATTATTATTGTATTAGCAACTATGCCTCCATGAATATTTAAAAGTAATATTCAAATACTCAGCTTGATATTCCTCTGTGCCTTTGCCAATATTTATATGTATCTTACCACTTATTTAAATATTTTCTATTGTATATTGTAAATTATTGCTTGCTCATATCAGAGTCTTACTTGTATATACTTAAATACATTTCCAATATTCTCTAATTTATATCCTCTCACCAACAGACTCGTACTTCCAGTATCTATGTATATGTTTATGTATTTTCTTTGCAGCACTTTCTGTCATTAGCTTGAATGGTTTACCAGATGTTTGATTTAACTCAAGGTCCGTTCTTTCTACGGACCTTGGATTTAACTGTCTATCGAACTTGGACCGAGCACATTTTATTAATACTTACCCAATTTAGTACAAATTCTCACGATTCCATATCTTTTGGATTAAGTTTATGCTAACTTATTGAACTCAATTCGTGTATCAATATTCATTATGATTCAAATTATTTATCTGTGTACTTTTGACATGAATAAGAAAAGCACAATTTCTTGTTCGATCAAGGGTAGGGCCTTCGGCCTAGGCACCCTGGTGCTCTATCACCACTCCCACACCGGTCTTTGGCTCCTCGGTCCGTAGCAAGGTTCTTTAATATACTAAGGTTAGGCCAGGAACGGAAAAAGCGTGCCATTGGTTGCTGGTAGTGACGTCACCCGGGAGACAAGAAACATCGGCCGACGCGTCTGCTACATGATTTTGGTAATGGAAAAAATGTAAACTAAAGCAAAATGATCATTTTATATGTGGTAGATACACCGGAAATACCGGGTATATACTTTCCGATTAAGTATTTGTTAAAGAAATGTTTATTTATGCACAGAATTCGTACGAATGCTGAAAATAATTGTAAACATTAAATTCTTTTCGTAAAGGAAAGTATTAGAAAATGAAAAACGATATTTAAGTTAATTAAGGGAAATAAATATTGTAAAACAAGGTATTTTTCAATATTTTTGTCGTAGTATTGTTTGCATTAAATAAATCTTGTTGAACAGAACACATGATGGCATAACTGCTAAGACCCATGGTAAAAACATAATCAAAAAGTATTATTCTATTTATTTTCATTGCTCCATGCACTTTTTTTAATACAAATGAACTTTGACATTCCATGAGAAAATATATGATCGTGATTTTCAGTTTAAATTACATATCTCAAGCAAAAAGTATATATAAAAAGATTTGACTTAACAAATTCATATTTAAATACCATAAAATTCTACAAATTTCTTAATATCCGTCATTTATACATTTTAAATAGTATACTATCACATTCATTATAAAGTGAAAAGTCACTTCATACTGATTCACTTCAGATTTCAGCAGAAGTGCGTATATTTTCAGTATAATCTAGAAAGTACTCTTATAATCCCTTAGCACTGCCTAAGATTTCTATATAATATTTATCCTAGTTTCTATCCTGACCGTGATTATTTGTTATAGTAAATAATCTTCGATATTGGCATCCTATTCTTCCTTCCATACATTAAAAATGGAACAATTAAAATACATTTTCTTACACATATACGCACAATAATAATTATAATAAACTTGCCCTACATCTTAGTTTCGGCCCACCAGCGGCTGAGCGGTAAAGTCGCTGAACACTGGTAGTTCGGTCCGAATCCCGCGAACGGGCTGGCTGCATGGGTGTTTTCGTGGTTTTCCTCATGCGTAACGTGTATACGAGCCAGTTTCCCTGAGAAAGTCCTCCACGAAGACATCACACCTATTACGCAGATAACCCTAGTGTACTTTGCCATAATTAAATACACCACCACATCTTAATTTCAATTCAGCCTGTACACAAATTAAATATTTTTAATTACTAATGTATTTTTATCAGGTTGTTTCTTAAAATACTTTTGTTATACTCGAAATATGTGTTCAATATTGAATTATTTTTCTTTCTCTTATAATTAAAAACAAGTTATATGGAATCAAAATTAAAACATATGCAGCAGTTAAATAACACTGAAACAGAATATCTTACTTACTCTTTCGCTATTTGTATTCTAGCATTATACATAGATTTGTTTTCCTTCAGGTTCAAGCATGTGTAAGTTATATCAATTAAATTACATCACACATACCTGTATGCATCAGTTAAATAACACTGAAGGAAATATGTCACTCACTCATTCGATGTTTGCATCATAGTGTGGTCGAGAAATTGTTCTTTCCTCAAGGTGAGGCATGTATCAGTTTACTTAGTTCGCAAAGCTTAACCCAGACGCTGCTTCAATACATAGAATTACGTTTGGAATGTAAAGAAAGTAACCAAAACATGTGAATGAAGTTGGGTACGCGAATTTATTAACTAATCATTCAGGTACTCAGTATTGGTAAACATGACATTGAGTTTAAATATCTCACTACGATGTAAGTCTCATACACAAAATGAAGATTATGATAAAAAATGATTTAAAATGAGAAATTTTTCAATTTAAATGTAAAATAGCAGTAAAATGAAAAATAAATGTAAAATTACATCACAGTTATGTATGAAAACTACATAAATTCATTAAAAAAATAGTTATTTTATCTGGTTGTAAAGAGTGTTTTCCGCCATATAACGTATTAACGTGTATAATTCTGACACAACGCTATAGCACAATTTGCCACTTCCGCCTAGGTATAATAGCAAATTAACAACAGAAATCAAATCAAACTGTTGATGCAACGAAAGTAAACAAACGTAAACAAACGCCAAGAACTAACGCTGTCACCCACATGACGTCATGCGTATGTGGCATAACTTTCTCCCTGCACTGCGCGTCGCTCTTGGGCCCCCCCCTGGGTCCGTAGAGACTAGTCGGTGTTGGTAGAGGAACGGACCGTGCTTTGGCTCCACGACTTCTTTTTAGCACAATTTGTTGGCAACAATATGGAGTTTGGTAACTGCAAGATGGTGGTGAAGTATTTTATATTAATGCTATTGTGTGTATATATATGAATTATGGGTCCTGTGCGGCTATTTGAGATGTGTAACAGGCGTGTTTTGAAAGGAGGTGGCCTCTTCGCTGTATCAACTTTTCAGTTATTTTGCTCAAGATATTTATAAATTACTTTTTTTGTGTTCATAAGTTGACAGCCGTTTAATGGCTTGTAAAAAGCACCGCGAGACTATATGCTCATTTAGGACTAAATATGTATTATTTTTATATGTACTTACTTTTACTGTGTCAAAAATCGATTTCTGTAACTGTAAGAATGAAAGTTTAGTGTTCTTCATACCATCTCGGTTACAAAAAGAATCAGAGGAATTGAGTAATCAGAAGCAGTATGTTGTGAGTTTGAACGCTAAAGTTTTAGCGCAAGAGCGCGAAAGACTTGAAAAATCTTTTCAACAGCAAAATCTTTTTAATTTTGCAAATAACCATAAACGTGCAGGTATTGATCACGAAAAACTTTTTGACAAACCAAGCAACATCGGTTCATATTTAAGGAAAATTACAAATGAAGAGCTCTGTGTAACTACTATGCAGGTAAAGTATAATATGGAATTTTCACCCGAGAGTCTTAAAAAATACGAATAGTGTAGCGTCATATGTATTATCCATGTTATAAATTTCACCATTCTAGACAGAAACTGACGAATATTTGGTGGGATTCAATTTATGACCTCTATTTTTCTGTCATTTATTTCAATGTAGTTTTTCTGTCTTTAAAGGCGTTATTTATTAGGCTACGCTTTTATACTGTTTCTAAATACATTTTATATAATTAAACTGTAATAGAAATGTGTAGATTTGAAGAACGTGTTCACAAGTCAATATTATCATTAATAAAACATGTTTTATTTGCTAACATAATGCATCACATAAATTTTTCAAGAACACTGGCTCTATACTAAATTATGCTTATATAAATGGAAATAATCCTGTATGTTTTATTTTCATGTGAATAAATTTCTGATGGTAGTGTAACATTTTTGTTGTTACTCATTTAGGTGTGATATTGTTTGTTTGAGTTAAAAATTAAGTAAACTTTGTTTATCCACACCCCCAAGAAAAACTCATCAATGCATTAGCAATTTTGTTAATTCAAAAAAAAAAAAAAAAGTATTGGTGAAATCCTAGTATACGGTGCAGCCTTGGTGCGATTTTGAAAATTATCGCTAACACCAAAAGTGATCCAAAGAACGTCTATGTACATATATACACTTTATACTATCATTGTGTACATAGTGTATACTATGTATAACTATATATATTCTTTGAATGATCCGTTTACTCATCGTGTATGTCCCGTTTTCACTGCTCATCATGAAGTAGCCAAATTATCTATATTACTCATAGGTAGTTTTTTTGTTTTACAAATTGTGGGCTCTTGCCTCTAACGGCATTGGCCTCTACTTAGGCCAGAAATGGTAGCCATTTGGAAGCACTTCCACAGAGAACCCGGTAAATGTAAACATCGCCAACGTTGGCGATAATAGTTCAAACCTGGTAACCTAGCTAATTCATCCTATTCGCTTATGCGAAGGTTGTTGTTGTTCGCATTTGGAGATTTATATTATTTTTCTCTTATTTATTGTTATTTTTTCTGAATTTTTTAACAACGAATAGAACAGAAATATTTTCGCATAATTAAAGAAGTTTTCGTCGAAAGATGCCGGTTCTCGGGTCGTCAGTTCGGAATCAAAGGAAGAAATTACGGCAGGAGGGGTGAATGCTAATTTGGAATATGGCTGTTCACGTTATGTTCTTAATTATTAACAGCTGTAAGCACGCAGAACCATGAGTTTTCCAACCCTTATAATAATTTTAAAATGTATAAAGTTCTAGTTTTATTAAAAATGCTACTTAAGAAAATTTGATTACTGTTGAAGGTTATTTGTATTGTGAAATATATTATGAAAAAGGATAGGTATTTGTTTCAACGTAAAATGCTTTAAGCTGCATGCAAGTAATTTGAAAAAAGAAATACTTTGTATGTAAATAATGTAAAAAATCTAATAATGTAAAAAATGTAAAATGGATATATTAAAGGTCATGCATTCATTAATTTATTACATGGGCATGGCTCTTACCGAAATACATCAATCAACAGGCAAAGTACTTAATAGTGAAAAAAGACACTTATAATAGAAATATTAGTATTCTATATGAATTGGAGAAAATACATATAAGTATATCATAAACGTAAGTATAAGAATACTAATTGTTTATTTTTTAAATGAATTTTTACTTCCCGTTATGTTTAATACATTGTTTTCTGTGCTAACTTGAATTTAATACAAATTTATTTTCGTATATCACATTTAACCTGTTAGTTTTACATCTGCACACTTATTATGGTTTAATCCTAGTATCCGGTGCACACTTGATTTGGCTACTTTTGGTGACTATGATGAGCAGTAAAAACGGGACATATACGATAAACAGGTCATTCAAAGAATATACATAGTGTATACTATGTAATGTATATACACTGTAGGGTATAGTATATAGTATTTACATAGACGTTCTTTGGATCATGTTTGGTGTTGGCGATAATTTTCAAAATCTCGCCAAGGCTGCACCGTATACTAGGATTTTACCCTTATTATCTGTGAATTTGGTACTTACGTATTAACGTTGCATAAATCGCCAAATTTGGTGACCCTACTTACAGCAACCCTACGTGTTATACGTAGTTTTGTAAAAAGAATTTATTTGTAAAAAGAAAAATAACACTGGGCGTTATACTACCACAGGAAAGGGTTTATGGCGGAATTTGCCGAGGGAAAAGAAAGAGACTTTTTTGGTTACTGTACCTAACAGAAGCGCCGTTACCCTCATGGAAAAAATTTGCGAAAATATCAAGGAAGGAAGCATCATTTATTCGGATTGCTGGAAAGGATACAATACAAGTGAGTTCGAAAATGCTGGATTTCTGCATGGAACTGTTAATCACAAATATAACTTTGTGGATCCCAAACATGGGCGTTCACACTCAACATGTAGAGCGCATGTGGGGCTCAGCCAAATGGCACAACAAAAAACAGAGAGGAACAGCCCGTCATCATCTTGACTCATACCTTATCGAATTTATATGGCGCCAAGCTCAAGCTGTTAATGGCGAAGACGGTTTTCAATCAGTGCTAAAAGCAATAGCCAAAAGATTTCCGCCGAAAAAATAATTCTGCAACTTATTCAGATTCGAAACCGGAAGGGTTTAATTGCTATTTTATATTTTAAAACAAAATAATATAAAAAACTGTATTAAAAATTATCTGTAATTAATAAATATACATTTTCTTTCTATTCATACTTTTTTACTCAAACTTACAAATCGTGCCAACCTGGTTGCGATAATACGTAAGTACCGTGAATTTTTACTACCATTGTCTGCTAACTTGAATTTACATCACTAAAAACCACGTTTACAAATTATCACGCTTACGGCTCGCCTCATCCTTTGGCGAGTAAAACTGCAACGGCGCCAAAGGGTTCTTTCCTGAAGCGCCAACGGGTTCTCTGCGGATGAAAACCCAGCCATTTTATTGGGGAGGCACCTAATAGGCGGCCACCGTTACCTCCTATGAAGGTACAGACAATTTTACATCCATACCTTCTCTGGGATTCGAACTCAGGCCCTTTGGTATCGCAGTCAGGCTCCACTAACCACTAGACCGTCTGGGCACCCTCATAGGTAGGTAGTTGTAAATGTTACTAATCGAGGGCAAGTTTATCACTTTTATCAGAAAGTTTGTTGAACTGTAGATATTTATTGCAAGCATTATCAACATAAACAAAAAGAAAGACAATTTAGCAGTTTAAGATACAAATTGATATGATATTTTTTCCATTCATTTTCTTTCAAAATTGAAATATTTCCTTCATATATATTCGATTAATCATCATATGAGTCAGTGAATCGTAATTCTGTTGTTATATTGATCAGTATGGTGAAAATCCTTTGCCTCAACCTTGCAGATCTTTCTGTTTTTTTTCTCTTACCTTTTCTTTTTAAATCTTTTTTGGTATGTCAGTGTTTTAAACATCTTGGGGAAGAAGCAGTTCTTATCATATAAGGAAATGATACTTGTCTGCTTGGTGAGAAACAAACGTTTACTGATCTGTGCATGTGAAAGAAAGAAATGATTAATGATCTAACTGGCTTTTCTCAGTAGAATTATGTAAAATAGCTGTTTTTTATTGCAAAATACTTAATTATGTTTACTATTTTCAATATTCCATTGACTGAAAAAAAAATGCTATTGTTAATATTTGAGGCAGCAGCAATTATGGCCATAAGAGAAAAAACTGTTAAAAACATAATTTTGTAATCTGTTTATATTTTAGAAATTTCTACCAAAATTATGTTAAACAAAATAACAAATACAATTTTTCTGCATGTTTATAAATGATGTTGTTTTAAATAAATTGCTTACGTAATTGTATTAAATATACTAATTAAATAACTTCTGGTGAATTATGCTAATATTTTAAATAAATTCTTAACAGAATTGTAATTAATACTATAATTCACACAAATTTATATTTAATTACTTCTATGTATGTACTCACGTGTTAAATAACTTGTATTGTAAAGATACTAAATGAATTGCTGATTGATCATTTACCATAATGAATTTTGTTTCCATCAATGTTTACAACATTTGGCAACAAATTGCACTTTCTTAAGTCGAAATTCGGCCAGTTCCATTCATTCTCTTGCCAAGACCATGGAAATTTGAAATTGAATGCAAGTTGAAAAACAAACTAAAAGTAATAATAGTAAATTGAATATATGCAGTACTGATAACATTCCTGCATGTTTTACATAGCATAGGCAGTTTCTAGTGTAATTTGTACAATATTTTTTTCTTGTTTTCATAATATTAAAATTTTAAAGAGTAGAGTAGACTTTAAGGTACTCTATCCTTTAAAATTTTATTATGGTGATGTTGTTGTTTATCGCGCGAGTTGTTGTTTCATTTATGGTAGCCTGAGTAGTTGAATGTTATGGAAACCCTATTGTAACGTAATCGGGTGCATGATTCTGGGAAATTTTGAATCGTGGAATGTTTTGTAAGCATTTTTGTGGTGTGTTGGTTTGAATCTTTAGACGGTAGAATGCCCAAATGTAGTAAGATTAATTTGAAATTTCTGTATGATGTGAAGCGAAAGGGGAAAAGAGCTTTAATTGACTGGTGTGTAAATGAAGGTTTACTTAGTAGCCATTATAAGTGTCCTGTATGTAGAAAGGATATGCATCTAGTCGAACCTAAAAACAGTTTAGATGGATTTGAATGGGTTTGTAGAAAGAAAGGTTCAGATGGTCACTATGTGAAGCATTCGATAAGAAAGAGTACCTGGTTTGAAAAAAGTCGTTAGAGTATGACTGATATTTTGATTTGGTTGATCTTTACAATATGGTAACTGGTAGTTTGGCGACATTTTGGAGGCGATAAAGGTTACTACCTGGGACTTTGGTAATAATGTGAGCAGTACTCAGTTCCGATTACGCATTATTTTGCGTGAGGGAAATGAGAGAT